CCTCTTTTACTCTCAAAGAAAACAGTACCACTTAAAATGGGGAAACGAGCAAGGATATACACCTGATAAAGGCAGTATTTCAGATCTGTGGAGAAAGAATGGCATGGGTAGCTGTGTAGCCCTCTGGGTGGGGGAGCAAGGGGAATCACTGTGCAGGAATCATACAGCACGTGTTAAAAAGGACACATTTCCAATGGCTCATAGAATCAAATGTAACATACAGAAATGTGAATATTCCAAAAGAACACTTAGGTAAAAGTTTCTATGACAGTAAAGTGGAAAAACAGAAACTAAAAACCTGAAAATTTGATATGTATAACTACAAAAATGACTATTTTGGGGCAAGACAAAATCAATCCTAAGGGAAATCAAAAGGCAAATGACAAATTAGAATATTTGTTTCACATCATAGACAAATGACCAACAGCTCTCATATGTAAAGAGATCCCACAAATCAGAAGGAAAAAGACTAACAACACTTTAGAATGGATATCACACACAGTTCACAGAAAAGAAATAAAAATGTCTCATATATATGACAAGATATTTAGACTTACTCATTATCAGAGGAATATAAATAATTAAACTCTATGGAGTATACCTTTTCACCTGCCTACCAGAATGGCAAAATAAAAGCATGGGCAGCATGCCCTCTGTCAGGGAGGATTCATTCAATCAACATCTGTCTGTGGATGGAACACTTACTGTGTGTATCTGGCACTGATGCACGCCCTTGGTGTACTTGGATATCTAGACTCAGAATCATGACAAAGCATGTTTCATTTCTAACTCAAAACCCAATGAACTGGTCTCAATGACACAATTTTCTATAATAAGCACCGCTTAGCAGGTAAAACAAGTCAACCAATCCTCAGTTTATCAATTTGGTAGACACCAAAGCCATGTAAAATGCTTGCATCTATATGCAAAGAGAATTCAGATTTAGGCTCGGGTAAGGAAAGCATTTTCACTTTTCACATTTTCACTTTTCACTCCAGAAGGACGATTGGAAGTCTGGTGGAGCTCAGGACAATCTGTGGACTATCCAGCATATTTTAGGATGCTCAGCATGCCTAGCCTCAGTTACTAAATGCCAGAAGAACCAGCCAGTGTGATGACGACCAGAAATGTCCACACATTTCAGCAATTACCTTAGTGGTCTCAGAAATTCCAGAAATAATTTATAAGGAAAATGGGGGAAGTAAAATGCTTTTTAGCTGCTAAATATGAATAAAATGACTATTTTAGGAATTTTAGAAGCTGGAAAGGCTCCTTTCAGGCTGAAACTGTGAGTAAATGCTGAAGACAGATAAGTTAACGGAAAGATTTTTGGTGAAACAATTGATTGTAAAATAATAGAATGGATATATCCTGGACAAAAGAAGCTCTCTGGTCAAGGTGGGTGGGGCTTGAACTCCCAAACCCATGATCAGAATCACCTGCGCTACTGACTGGGCCAGTAGGCCACTCTTAGGACAGTAGTCATTTAGAAGCCACTTCAAGTGCCAGCCTTATTTAGAAAAGTATAAGGAAATGTCTGTAGGTAGTATTGAAATCAAAGTGTTAAGAGAGAAAGTGACAACATGCTCATAGGGAGCTCAAACCTGTAGCCTTAGCATTATTAGCACCATGCTCTAATCAGCTGAGCTAACCAGCCAATCTAATTTCTCTCTGTTTTTGCTTCCAATTTTAAATCCCTGTTTCTGTAATAGGTCTTCCTGAGAAGGTAGACTTTTTCCTATTTTTCTCTTTCCATCCAACTTAGCAGGAATAGAAAAACTAAAACAAAAAAAATCCATTTTCAACCACAAATGAACCTCGCTGCCTGGGAAATTTCGTCTTTCCTAGATCCTGCCATCTGATCAAAATCTCAGCGAAGCCTTTTCCCCCCAGAAACAGAAAAGTTCATCTTAAAATCCATATGGAAATGTAAAAGACCCAGGAAAGGAAATGTAATTTTCAAAGAAGAAGACCAAAGTTGGAGGATTTACACTTGTTGATTTGAAAACTTTCTACAATGATACAGTAACCAAGACTGAGTTACTGGCACAGGACAGACACACAAATCAACAGAACACACCTGAGGGTCCAGAAGTAACCCTGTCCACATACTGCCAACTGGTTTTCAACAAAAGTGCCAAGGCCATTCAATGATACAAAGGATGGTCCTTTCCACAAAGAGTGTGGGCACAGTTGGCTATTCACATGAAAAACTCATGGCTAGTCATTAGGGAAATGGAAATTAAAATCACAGGGGCAAAGACCGAACTTGCATAAGGCATGAGGGCAATAATCTCTTTAGACAGATGAGAGAACCATGGTCTTATGCTTCTCCCCTTCCCTCAAGAGTCAAGTGGAAATTGCTGTACTCCCCTCTGCTGCTTGCACCTGGGTCACAAAGGCCTGGGGACAGGGTTCTGTGTCTGCAGCCCTGCCAGACTTTAATATATGGTCCAGACACAATTTTCTACATCCCAAGGAGGTAAAATACTAGCCTTAGGCCTTCCCAGGCTCTCACAAAAGAAACAAGACTGGGATCTAGAGGTCAAAGTTTCTATCTGTAGAGGGACCAGCAGCAAGCTGTCAGGGCCAGAGAGGTACAGCAGGAAGTTCTAGGAGATGGGCATATGCATGAGGATGTAGGGGTCAGCCTTGGGAAGGCAGGCAGCAGGTGACAGGTCTAGGGGCAGAGGGTGAAGTGCATTAGTATGAAACTTCTTAATGAGAGAGAAAACATGGAATCACCAGAATGTTCAACAAATAAGGTATGGTTAAATAAATTACACTACAGCACAGACTCAAACAAATAAGATAAGGCAAAATTTTATGTATTAGTGTTTGAAGTGTGTCCAGCACACATATGTTTAAAAATTATGTAACATTACATCTATTGGGCTTTATTGGTGTATAAATATAGCTACCGAAGTGTAGATAAATATTTTTTCCCATAGGCCAAAAGCAAAGTTGAAAGATTATAATCCAATCTTTTCATAAAACAGTTACCTATGGGAACCACTGGAGTGGGTTTGGAAGGAGGTCAATTTTCCTTGTTTTGCATTTTCAACAGAAATTATATACTACAAGAAACCACCCAGATATTTACTATTTTATTTTATTTTTTTATTTTTTTTAATTTTTTTATTTATTTATGATAGTCACAGAGAGAGAAAGAGAGAGAGGCAGAGACATAGGCAGAAGGAGAAGCAGGCTCCATGCACTGGGAGCCCGACGTGGGATTCGATCCCAGGTCTCCAGGATCGTGCCCTGGGCCAAAGGCAGGCGCCAAACCGCTGCGCCACCCAGGGATCCCGATATTTACTATTTTAAAGAGAATGAATTTTAAAAAATGAAAGATTTGGTGTAGAGCAGGAGGCTGAGATGTAGGTGGAGGCCATTGGAAGAGCTGAGTGTCCAGCTGTGAGTCCTGAATAGGGGTGTGGACCACAAACTCAGGCCACAACCCAGATGTAGAGCAGAAAGAGAGAGAGAGGGCACAGAGTGAGAACACATGGAGGTGACTCAAAACATTGTTTTGTGCATAACTAGAGTGATCATGGTGCTGTTGATATAGAAGCCACCTCTGGGGTTAGTCAGGGAGCATCAAACATTCAGCTTGAGAGGCTACTGGGAAGGTGACCTCTTACTTCCTGTGAATAAGTCTTTAGATACTACAGTCATAGAGCATCTGGGTAGCTCAGTGGGTTAGGCATCTGCCTTGGCTCTGGTCCTATTCTCTGGGTCCTAGATCCAGCGGTCCAGCTGGGCTCCCTGCTGGGCTGGGAGCCTGCTTCTCCCTCTGCCTCTGCCTGCCACTCCTCCTGTTTGTGCTCTCTCTCTGTGTCAAATAAATGAATAAAATCTTTTTTAAAGGGCAGCCTGGGTGGCTCAGAGGTCTAGCGTCACCTTCAGTCCTGGGTGTGATCCTGGAGACCCAGGACCCATGATAGAGTCCCGCACCAGGCTCCCTGCATGGAGCCTGCTTCTCCCTCTGCCTGTGTTTCTGCCTCTCTCTGTGTCTTTCATGAATAAATAAAATCTTTTTTAAAAATCTTTTTTTAAAAAAACTATGTCATAATTTTATTATTTCTTAAATGCACCTATGATATGTATAGCATAGGTATCTGGTGTATAATTATTTTATTACTTGAGCAAACAAATCACTCAAGGAATTCTGGCAGTTATGAACACTTTTATTCCATGAGATAGACAGGAGTGTCTGAGGCAGACACTCTCCCTCTCCACCCTTCTACAAAAGCTGACCTCTAAAATCCTGGTCTGTGTGTTCAGACCCTAGGATTGGGCTCAGACTGATTTTGAGGAAGTGGCCTGGCTTCCGAGCTAGGCCACCCTGACCTGAGTGTCCTAGGCTCTGTCTCTGGGGGAGGAGGATTGGTTGCCCAGAGCTGAGGGAAAACAAGTTCGAAGGCAATTGTCTCAGGGAACTGACACTGAAGTCAGAAGCCGGTTCTTCTGGATACATTGTTAGTAGAGTCAGTGGTTTTGCAGTGTGCTCATTGGTGGTTAAATGTAAAAAAAGAGTGTTCTTAAATCCTCAAGCTTTTTCCCTCTCTGTTAAAAAAATAATATTGATGACACTTTTAAAAAGAATTAAGACATCAGTAAGTCTCCCAGCCTAGACATAGAACTACTTATTCCCAACAATACCTCTTAAAGCTGAATGAGGGAGACCATGTCACTAAGTGACGGGCAGCCCTTCCCGTTGTCCCTTCGACCTGGTGCCAGACTACTTGGCTTGGATCTCCAGGCTCTGTCCTTCCCTAGGTTGAGGCAATGTGTCTCCATCTGTAAAAGGTGAAAACGTTCACGACGATGCTGACAGTGATGCAGAGGGTACACCTAAAACTCTTAGGACATAGCGGGCGGGGTTTGTGCTTTACCCTGTGTGCCCAGGAAAGGGCGGGGAGGAGAGGCGGGCGGGGGGAGGGCGGGGGCCCCTGCGGCCCAATCGGGTCGCCTCCCTGCCTCCCGGCCTCCAGGGTTTACAGGCGGACTTGGAATCCCCCTGGGTCTGCTCTCCGCGAACGAGAATGGAATCCGGTAAACCTCTGGGAGGACAGCCCTGTCCTGTTACTATACCACCACCGAAACGGCCCTCAATTCCCTGTTCAGCATGTGCGTAGGTCGGCGGCGCTTCAGCCCGGCGGAGGCTCCGATGCTGACACGCTGCGCCCGCAGAGACGCACCACGCGGACAGGTCTGGTTTTGCGGCTGTTCCCGGCGAGGGCTCCGGTGCAGGCCCGAGGAAGGGGCGCTCGCCGTCGGGGCCGGGCGGGGGTCGTGCTCTGGGCTGTTTGGAGGTCTGGTCTGTCCTGTCCACGTTGCGGGTTGATGAGCGCTCAGGAGCGGGAGGACGGGGGTGGGGGGAGGCACTTGATCTGTCCCTCCTCGCGTCCGCTTCCCGACCCGCAGGTGCTCCCGGCCACGCAGGGACCCTCCCCCAGCCTGGAGGCGCAAGCACCTGCACTTCTAATCCGGGAGCGCCAGCGCCGCCGCTGCGGGCCCGCTGAAACCTGCCTGGAGCGCAGGGATCTCCCACGGAAGGAGACCTTCGGGAAGAGATGAGACCGGATAACGAAGCGGAGCGAAGGACCTTGGGACTCTGCCTCCGGTGTGCCCCTGCAAAGTAGCGACGGTGGCCCCCATCTCGCAAGGCGGCCCTGGGCCTGAGGTCAGGGAACAATAGAAGCACCTGCCCCAAGGCCTGCACCTCGCTCAGGGCTCCTCTCTGTCGCGGCCTCACCTGTTTTACCGGGCACCCAGTTGGGGAACCGCCTGGGATTCGGGGGTGGGTGGAGGGAGGATTCCTGACGTTTGGAGGTCAGGGCGCTGCAGTAAGACTCTGGGGTAGAGGGTGTGCGACAGGTAACCGTCCATGACTTAATCCTAGAGGAGGAAAAGCAAAATGTTCCCACTTTTCAAGCAACTGGATTTAAGGAAGTAGGTCAACCAAGCCTTTAGGGAAGAACCCAGAGGTGGGTCTCATGGTGTAATGGTTAGCACTCTGGACTCTGAATCCCGTGATCTGAGTTTAAATCTCGGTGGGACCTTTGGTGGCCTTCCTTTAACTTTTACACACTCATCTTCTTTCTGTTACTCATACTTTTTTTTTTTCCCCATGCAAATCGCTGTGCTCAAACTTATTCTTGATATTCCTGTCACAAGTATTGACTGAGTCAGGGTCTGCAGTCATCAGCACTGGGGACCAGAAAAATGTCCATTGCCTTTCAATATTCTTTAGCTGAACTAAGAACTTAAATTCACATGAGACAAATTAAAAGGAAAAAAACAAATTTAATTTCAAAGGTTCAGGGAACCCAAACAGAATGAGATTCCAAAGATAGGCAAAATGAGGTATATATGTTATTCCAAACTAAGGAGAAAGGGGTAGGGGGTCCGTGACTTCGAATGGAAGGAAAATACTTCACAGGGCAATGAAAAAAAAAAAAAGTTTGGTAAACATATGTTTGCTGGGCTACTCAAAAACAATGAGACACAAAGAGCACTTTGATCAAACAGGCCTTTCAGGTTCTTCCCTATCACCTCTAGTTCAGAGTATGAGGTCCTTATCTATGGGGATAGCTCTCTTCCTGGAATGGGTTCTTTTAGGCAGTTAGGGGTGAGGGGGTGCCAAAGTTTCTGAGTTTTCTGGGCCTTGATTGTTTTCAGCTCAAAATAATCTGCCAGCCAAAGTGGCCCATTTTGGGGCTGTCTGACCCTGGCCTTGACACTAGCCAACCAACAGCTTAATGCTTGTGGTGCACACCTGGGGGCGGGAAAGCGGGAGTAGGTGGTAGAAATCTCTGAAGCAAATGCACAAGGAAATCTCCCCAGTCTTGCTGGAACTGGAAATCTGGAAGTGATCCCCAAACTGAGACTCCAGGGAAGGTGGCCTATGGGAAGAGCAAGAGGAAATGTGGTGGTTGTCACCTGCTGATAAAAGTCATGGAAATTAAGAAAAGGATTTACCCCTGAGTTGTGTGTCTAGCTGAGTTGATCTAGGCAGAGAGAAAACTGTCCTTGGGGGCAAGAGCACAAAAACCGCAGCAGCAGCAGCCAGGTTGGAGATCTGGGTGGGTAGACCCGGGGGGATGGGAAGATAATGATATGCGGTAATCATTACTGGGTAGATGCAGTGCTTTGGGTTGCAGGAGCAAGCTTGGCTGGTTCAGGACAGAGACCAAAGAGCTGATCCATAGATTCTTTCGGAGAACATTGATGTTTACTCCGCAGGCCTCAACCCTTCTAGGTGAGGGTCCCCTGTGGGCCTTCCTCCGGGCTGCTCCTCAGCCGTCTATGCAGCTCCGGACCCAGAAGCCCTTGTGCATCAGCCTTCTGTGACCTTTTCGGATGATCTCAGGAAATATGGACAACAGGAAAAAACCCACAAAACCAGTTAAGTGGCGGCATACAAGCACTATTTTTAAATAATTGGATATGATAGGAATATATGTATTAACAGGACATGTGGGTCTTTTGAGTATCAATGTGGAAATCAGTATGTATCTATTTTTACAGCCTATCAGATTATACCTTGTAAGTGCAAGGATTTGGAGAGCTGCTCTGGAGCCAGTTCCTGCCTACAATCCCCGGTGAGTTCTTCAGAGCTGCCTGAAATACTGTCCCGGGGCTCAGTAAGACACGAATAAGACATTTACTACCTGACTTTTTTTTCTTTTTATTGGAGTTCAATTTGCCAACATATAGCATAACACCCAGTGCTCATCCCGCCAAGTGCCCCCCTCAGTGCCCATCACCCAGTCACCCCAATCCCCCGCCCAGTTCCCCTTCTACTACCCCTTGTTCATTTCCCAGAGTTAGGTGTCTCTCATGTTTTGTCACCCTCACTGATATTTTCACTCCTTTCCCTTTATTCCCTTTCACTAATTTCTATATTCCCCAAATGAATGAGACCATATAACGTTTGTCCTTTTCCGATTGATTTATTTCACTCAGCACAATACCCTCCAGGTCTCTCCACATCGAAGAAAATAGTGGGTATTTGTCGTTTCTAATGGCTGAGGAATATTCCACTGCAACGTCTTGTCTTGCAAGATACATCCATGAAGGCAAGAGAAACAAAAGCAAAAATGAATTATTGGAACTACTACTTGACTTTGAAGTTGGCTGTGCAGCAGTCATTCTGGGAATTGCTGGGGACTTTCATTTAGGAAATTGATGGAGGGGGGGAAGCAGCAGGCCAGCCAGCAAGAAGGAAGGAAATGTGGTGAGAAAAAAACAGCCTAGTGTTAGTGAAGATGAGACAAACCAGCGCGCCCTGCAGCAGGGGCTGGAGAACTGGAAATCGCAGACACAGTACAATACTTTACTAACAAGTACCTTGGCGTGTTCACTCTGCTCCTGGTGGATGTGAGCCATGGCTACTTCCACATCCCCTTGCAAATCAAGCCTTTTTATTACTTTTTACTAACAACTTACTGCAGCATGTGACCTCGAGGTGGAGGGGGATATTTCCTGTTGACAAGAAAGAACAATTGATAATATTGGCATCTTCCCTAGTCAGTAATTATTGTCTGTAAACAAGACACAGATCAGTGTTTCCGTTGTATATTTTCCACGGTTTCTTCGTGGAGGAGATGATAAATTTCCCCTCCACTTCTGAGTACCCATACATTTTAAAGGAAAGGAATGCACACATGTCATGGGAAGTTAGGGCTTTACTTTTTCTTTTTCTTTTTTTTTTTTTTACACTTATTCAGACTCATAAGACAATGTTCCTCCTTGACTTTTGTCAGAGGAAATAGATCATCATGTTTTGTAAAACTATGTTTACGGGGTTGCAAGTCCCCTCTTCACTATCACTGTGATTCACGACTATATTTATTAAATTTGGATAGAAAAAATGTATTGAAGATCATGCACCTTAAATAATCATAAAAACATCTTTTGTAAAAGCCCCACACTTACTCAGAAGCACAAAACAGTGGTCTTTTTGCTGTTAATTCCCACCAAATTCTTCTCATTCCAGTCAAAAGAGGTTTTCCTCTGAGGACACATAACTTGATAGGGGAAAATATTCCCAGCACTTTCACTAAAGAATGCATTTCTAGTGCAATTCTACTTCATATATATAGTAAATTACTTCTCAAAATTATCGGTGTGTATCTTTTATTGTGTGTTACTACTAAATACGAAAGCGAAAGCAAAATAAATAAATAAATAAATAATAAATAAATAAATAAATAAATACGAAAGCAATTCAAGTCAGAAGAATAGTCTTGAACAGATGTATCATCCTTGGAAATAACAAAAACTTAGATTTCAATTTATGCTCTCAGTTGCATAGTGGCACAATAGGATGTTTGAGCATAAAAAGACATAATATTACAATACAATTCTGTAGCAGATGTGGAATGAAGAAAATACATTCACAAGTAGTTTTTTTTTTTTTTTTAAGAGATCTTACTTATTTACTCATGATAGACATAAAGAGGCAGAAGAAGCACACTCCATGCTAGGAGCCTGACATGGGACTCGACCCCACGACCACATCCTGGGCCAAAGGCAGGCACTAAACCCCTGAGCCACCCAGGGATCCCCAGACTCACCTGTAAAGCTTCGAGGTACTAATGCAAGGGAAGAAAGGGCTAGGGGGCTGTCAGGGCTTAGTTGACATCTGAAGAATGAGCAGAGAAGGAAAGCTGGCCAATCGAGGGCAGAGGGGATACTAGAATGCAGCGGGTAGAAAATCAAATTTTGGAGTTTAGGGAGAACAGAATTTCCTGGGCCTGGAGGCCAGTATGATCACCAAGGAAGGATGACCCTGGAGGCAGGAGACGCTGGCAGGCTAAGGTGAGAGAGGCTCCCTGGGGGAAGGTGAGAGAAGAACTGGTCTAACGAGAGAATTCTCTGGGACTGGACGACTGTAGTTTGAAAACAAGGCCGCGTCCCAGGACCCATGTTTGCTAAATGTACGAGTTAAGAGAGTATTCAAGACACACAGCCTTCAGGTGACGAGGTGGCCGAGTGGTTAAGGCGATGGACTGCTAATCCATTGTGCTCTGCACGCGTGGGTTCGAATCCCATCCTCGTCGGCTTTCTCCCCCTCTCAGGAGCACAGGCCTCTGTTTTGTGCTTCTTTGAGTGACTTGCCCCAAGGACCACCGCTCCCCGGCGTGCAACTTTCCTGCTTCCCTTTCTGCACCTTCCCTCTCCCTTCCAACAGGTAGTTTCGCTGGGACGTGTGGGCTCCCACCCGTCTGGGTGAGAGCCACAGCTCTCTGCTTTTAGAACACTATTTATTGCTTCTTCCTGCTCCTTACACATCCGGCAGGTGGACGGTGCCCTAGGGGGACTCAGGGCATCCTGGTGGGACACTCCCCCATCCTATCACAACGCAGCTCAGAGCCAAAGAAGCCAAGGTTTTGGTCAGGACCCCTCTATGAACAGTGCACAACGCTGTCCACCTCCTTCCTATCCTCAGGCCTCAGTCATTCTTACCTTTCCTCGTTTCTTGTCACAGTGCAGCGCTTGGGACATACCCTCTTGGATTTGCTTCAAAATGCTGATGGGTGGCTGGCGAATAATGGAAGAAAGACATGACAAAATGCTGCTAGCCCTTTATGCTGGTTTATCATACTATTCTTTCTTTACTTTTTCAAATTGCCATTATGATGATCTTAAACACTTTCCTTGGAAATAAATTCACACTTAAAACTGGTAAGAATAAGAACAGTAAAAAAATCTACCTATATACCTTTTTTTGGGATTCACCTATTAACATTAGTAACCACTCCCTCTCCTTTCCTCTTCTCCCTCCCTCTCTCTCCCTCTCTCTACCCTCACCTCACTCCAACTTAGATGTAGTCTCCATCTTCATCTCTATATTTCTGTTTTCAGAACCATGTAAGAGTAAATTGTATATTTCATAGCCTTTTGCTATTATATATTTAAATAGTTATTACCTGGGACACCTGGATGGCTTAAAGGGTTGAGCATCTGCCTTCCTCTCAGGTCCTAATCCCCAAGACTCTGAATCCAGCCCCGTAGGGCTCACTCAGTGGAGAGTCTGCTTCTCCCTCTCCCCCTGCTCCTGTCCTCTCTCTCTGTCTCTCAAATAAATAAATATCTTAAAATAAATAGATAGTTCCTAAAAAGGATATTCTCTCTATATAATGACAGTAGATGTATCAGTTCAGTGTATCTAATGATATTGTTTTAAAAATCTCGTCACCCGTATTTCAATATATCTTTTGACCAATAATGTCCTTTATAGCACCTCCCGCCACGGATTAGCTATTGTATCAGTTGCCCATACTCTTTTTTAAAATGTTTTTATTTAAATTCCAGTTAGTTAACATCAGTTATCCATATCCTTTTAATTTCCTTTCATCTAAGACATCTCCATAGCCTTTTTCTTTTTTATGACATTGACATTTTTTGAGTGTATGGCAATGGCTCACTTTGTTGTTTATTTTGTTGCTGTTGTTGTTTTAAATAACGCTTTTAATTTGTGCTTTGTGAGATTTTTTTTTTTTTTTGCCCATAATTAGGTTCAGGTTATGCACGTTTTGTGAATGCCAAAGTGGCCATGATGGAGCAGCCTCCCCGTGGCCCATTAGAGTTACCCCTCAGAGTTAGTGTGTATCAATAACCAGTCTTTACTAGGCTGGTTACAGGATGATGGTATTTCATTTCCAACATTTTCTGCACATTCTATTGCAAGTCAAAGTGCATACCCATAAATGTAAAGGATCAAAGCAGTACCCTTGCCCCTTCTCCCTGCCTCTGGTCCTCCAACCCATCACTTTATTTATATTTTTCCATGTGATTTTTAAAATTTTTCATTATTTAAGGTGCTTGTTGTTATAGGAATTTGTACTTTCTTGTTACAATGTAGAAATTCACTGAAGAGTACTTTACTTACTAAATTTTCCTCAAAGGTGGTGACCTCGGGCAGCGGGCCTCGTAGGCCCTGCATGGCGGGCCTCCTCTTGTTCACTGTGCCCAGGGGCTGTTTGTCTCACAGACTGAGGGGGAGCTCAAAGTGACCCGGATTCTCAAGGAAAACTTTCCTGGAGCTACAGCTATCCAAGTCACTGACATTTCAGGAGGCTGTGGAGCGATGTATGAAATCCATATCGACTCAAGAATTTAAGGAGAAGAGAACCATCCAGCAGCATCAGATGATCAATCAGGCACTAAAAGAAGAAATCAAAAGTATGCACAGATTGCGGATATTTACCTCCAACCCCAAACACTGATCATGGCCTGGCTGCATAGATGCTGCTACTTAATGCCTTGGATGAACTTGGCTGACACCATCCTTTCCTAGGCATTTGTCAAAAAAGTTATCTATTTTGTTCATAGGCATTTCCTTATTATAATCATAAAAGGATATATTCTCTTTTTAGAGATTAATTAAAGGCAACAGACAACTGAAACCTTTGAAGAGCCACTGGTGATGCATCCGGTTCCTTTGTTTCAGAGGCAGTGTCCTTTTGCCCAAAGTACTCTCATCCTCAGATACTGCTGTTGTGCTGCTACACACGTGGATTGGAGTGCCAGCTAGTTCTGTTATGTCAAGAGAATTTCTTGTTTCTTCTCCTCTAGGGAACTGCTATTAAGGCCCTTAATCTTACCAAAAAGAAAAGAAAAGAAAAGAGAAAAAAATATCCTTTGGTTTTGCTGTTCCCTCAGTTTAATGCCTGTCTTTCCCTTCCCCTCCAAACTTCTTACAAGAATAATGTTAGACCTTCAATT